GCATGATTTACTTCTTTACTGTTTTTGATTTAGAGCTTATGCTCCGCTGTCTACTCTACGCTCTCTGACAGCTGGCTTTTTGTTTTATTCGACAGGCTGATTTGCATTCGGTCGAATCCGACATCAATCTGCTCTCAGGTCCACTGGCTGACGTCCAGTTCTTCGTAAACAATCTGGAACCAGGTGGTCGTGTGAGTCGGTGTTTTCCCATTATATGTTTATTCATTTTGCTGCTTGTCTTCGGATGCGAACCTCAAGTCTTCTCGGTCCTGAGTCCAATCAGGGTTAAAGGACTTCAGGCCGGGATTTGACATTCCAATCTGGCAGGCAGAGCCTACCTTTCTGCTGATTATTTTACCAGTGTTATTTCTGTGAATGGTGGTCTTTCCGTGGTTATGCCAACGGCCTGATTGCTACACACATGGTGGTAGTTAATTGCCTACGTCATAAGTTGTCGTGTCGGTAGGTGGGCAAACCCGCATGATGGCTGCTAGATCTCGTGCTTCTCGTTTTCCTTACTTGACCATGCCTCATCGGCCTTATCTCGAACTACAGAATTTTTCAGTTCAGGTTCACTTTTGACAACTGACAGCACACCCGGCTTTTCAACGCTTAGGCCGGGGTCCCAGCGGTCTTCTTTCTCGAACGTTCAACTGCCCACGTTACCCTCTATGGCCGCAACTGTGCTGTTCTAAATACCCATGGCCTTATAGTCAGTAGGGGAACAGCTGAAGAAATAATTCTGTTTAGAGTTACGGGGCAACCACAAATACTTCACATCCCCGCCATTGGTCCCCTGCTTTCGATGCAGAGATAGACATGGTCTCTCTACAAGAATATTAGCGGGCTCCCCGTGCACTCATTTGTCACAAATTGTAGAATTGGCTGTGAATTTATCCGGCAATTTAAACCCGACGAGTCGATAGTCGCGTACTTTGTAGGTGGTAAGAGAGAAGTTACTAAGATATCGCCTCTCCGACTAGCTAGGGAGGAAATTATCACAAACTACTCAGGCATGAGAAAACTACCGCCTAACATCCAGTAGGGCTTAACCCATCCCACGCGACGCCTGTCACAGAAGGCCACTACAATAACTGGTTAGTATTCTTTGTAAGAATGCAGTGTAGCGGTTTCTAAGATGAACCAGGATTTGCGGAATGTCACAATTGGCCTAACGTGCTGGCTTGCATATTCAGGAACGCGTAAAGATGCGTGACAGGCAGGGATAACGCCATTGCCATGCTTGATTTTCGAATAACGTGTTTACATTGATTCCTCCTGCTCTTCGCTCTGATTGGCCTTTTGCGTGATTGGAGTTAAGCTCCAGTTTTGTTGCTCTGCATTTTTTTAACATGGCACTTACCTCTGCAATGATAACTAAAACCGAGTTCAGAAATTAAGACCTTGTCCTCATGCTAAGTGATATCTTCCTAAATGGAACATTTTCCTTAGAAAAAAATGTATATCATGGTCAATAGGCTCTCACCGATCGGTTACAGAATTCACTCGGCACGTCGTGCTTTAGGACTCTCTCCCGAGCCCCGCTAGCAACCACATCGGCTAGTAGTATACGCAGAAGAACATTACTGCCAAAGACCATGTAGACTGGAATGGCCATTTCTGGCTCATTAGCCGTCATCAGCCAGGCATATTCAACTCGCAACCTTTTGAACAGAAGTTCAGTGCTCTAATCATTGCGCCACGGCCTCGTTTTGTCGGCTTCGGTCGGGTATATACACATTTTAAGGCGTATTTGCTACTACATTGTTTTCTCAGACATAACGCCCATGTTCACTTCCAGTTGTTCTAACGGAGCAGGTGTCTTGCAAGCCCGTTAGTGGACCAACCCGTATAACAGTTAAGGAGGTCGTCCCCTTTGACGGTCAAACTATCATGTGAAGTACTAATAATTACATCAAATCCAGTACTGGATCTGCTGTGTACATTCAAGGTCCTCTGTGCATCGAAAGCGAACCGCCGCTATTTCAACCAATCAGTACGTCGACTACGCATCCGCTGGTAAAGTTCTATGCCACTTTGCGGATGTAGACAGGAGTTAGATAATCTCGGTGTCTTGACGTGAGTAAGACCAAGGTCGACCGGCGACGGACTGACAACCCGTTCGCCGGAAGGCGAAGCCAGCACACCGTCTTCGCTATCCTCCTCAACTTCGCATGCTGATTGACCACGCGAGTGCAAGTTATCGCCACTGCTATCAAGCACATGAGACAGTGTTGATAGCATCGATAACTAATCTCGAAATTTGTATGATTTTTAGGCAGATTCGGCTTTGACAGCAGGCTCGTCTGTTTGCGGCGTCCGTTAACTGTTATAATTTTTATAATCTGTCATCTCTCCCTACATCCCTCTCTTATTACTGCTTCTGCTCACGTAACTTGAATATTTTCAACTTTTTTAGTCTTTCCTAGACGGCGCTGGGAAAGACAAGCCGTAGCCTTGGGCGAGCCTTTTTGCATTTTAAGAGATTTAGTTATTGTTCCTTAACCAGATTGACAAAAGTTGGCTCTGCGGTGCTTTGTAGCAAACGACCTCTTAATGCAATAAGATATCTCAAACTACAAATCTAGTATTAGAGACGTTAGGCGGTTTTTATTTTTTTCGGAACACGAGGTGCATTTTTGTCTTCTTAAAGCTGGCAAGTTAAGCACAACAGGCGATTACCTTAGCCCATAATTTGTTTATGTCCCCCGTCCTATCAAGTTTAACTTTTGTTGAAGCATTGCGGGTAAGGAAGGGAAGTCAAACAGCCCTACAGAAATGGAAAGGCGTCTTTCGCGGGATCGTGGTATACTCCTACCAACGCTTGTCGGTTGCCTAAAACATAGCTTATCTCCTTTTCGTATCTCGTGATTTCCTGTTCAATGTTTACACTCGAAACCAGCACCACCTGTAGTTCACATTGTAATTTATCGGAGTGTCTAGATTCAAGCGCTCATTGCCTTGCTTATATTAAGAAAGAGCTAGGGGCCTGCGGCACCTCGCGCATTGTTGTTCACTGGCAGTTGAGGTGCGCCCGATGGAGGGGAAAGAGAACAACCCGCTGCCTTCCTTGATGTCCTCGTCTGTCGCAAAGGTGGCGGTGGCCTAAAGACAAAAGTACTCAGGAAAGCGACAAACGATGCAATTACTGAATTACAGCAGCAACCACCAAAACAGCCACAAACGCAGTTTTCTAAGGACGCTCTATCGGCGGGTTGAGACGCACTGCGGCGAACCAGAAGATAAAATTATAGAGGTAAAATACCTCCGACGGGTGTTCAGAGAAACTAGCTACCCACGCAAATTCGTCAGCCGGTGATTGCGCAAACGAGATGGTCAACAAAGTCGCACCGACCCAAAAAATTGGCGAGCGATCCCGTACGTCAAAAACGTCTCGGAGACTTTCGGCCGCCTTCTCGCACCATTTGGAGATGGAGTCAAACACAGGCCGGAGGCAATCATAAGGCGTCATATAATGAAACTGACGAACCCACTGCCACGGTTGGAAACATCTGGAATCTTCTACAGGATCTGGCAGACTTCTCAAGACGCGAATTGCTAAACACGCGGCAGCAGTGCGGCAGAGTGATGCCACTTCTCAAGTTGCGGCTCATTCGACCAAAGCCGGCTACACATTCAAATTTGATGAGGTCGAAATTCTCGCAAGAGGTGACAATCGCGTGAGCCGGGAATTACTTGAGTCATGGTTCACGGGCCCTCAATCCATATTTGGTGCTGAGACTCAATTTGGTCACAGCAAGTCGCCACTTGAGGAACGGACAGCCCACCGCGTCATCCTACGCCAACACCGGATAGCCGAGCAGTCATCACGCCCGACTCCACCACGCGTGATGAAAGTTCAGCAGGTCAAAGCCCGCATGCCGTTCAAGAAATTATCAACTCTCAAGAAGGCAATTGCCGTTAATTGTTGTTGTATGTTTGCGGTAATGGCTGTATCCTATACATACTGCAAA